AAAAAAAAAAAGAGCAAAGAACATAAAATGATTCTCAAAAAAATACAAATCATCACAAACATACAAAATAATCAACCCCAGTCATAAAAAAGAAATGCAAAGTGAGAGCACTGAGGGCTTATCAAACTGGCAAAATATGTTAAAGTTATCATCTAGCTTGAGTGGGAACTAAAGGCTAGAACTGCTTCTGGCTAAGAAATCAGTAAAACCCACCCAGAGGGTGCATGTGTCATAGGCTTCATCTAGGCTCAGCTGGTTCTAGCACACCTTATAAATACCATGATTTTTAAAACTGAAAGTCTGGCTCAGAGCCCATACCTCAGTGGTTAGGGTGCCAGCCACATACACCAGGGCTGGCAGGTTCGAACCCAGCCCAGGCCTGCTAAACAACAACAATAAAAACAAAAAAATAGCCAGGCGTTGTGGTGGGTGCCTGTAGTCCCAGATACTTGGGAGGCTGAGGCAAGAGAATCGCTGAAGCCCGAGAATTTGAGGTTGCTGTGAGCTGTGATGCCACTGAGGGCAACATAGTGAAACTGTCTCAAAATAAATAAATAAATAAATAAAATAAAAAATAAAAACTGAAGGTCTGGGGCAATTCGCCCTGAGCAAGCCTATAGGGACCACTTTCCAACAGCATGCACTCACATCCTGGCTCTGTGTCCCATTTTGTTAATTCTCAGTTTTTCAAACTTCTGTGCTATTACTGTATCTGTTTATGTTGGTCTGTGGTCAGTGACCTTTGGTGTTGTGACTGTAACTGGTCTGGGGTACCGTGAGTTGCACCACACAGGACAGTGAACTTACTCAGGCCTGGTGTGGTCTGACCATTCCACGGACCAGCTGCTCCCACACCTTGGGCCTCCCTATTCTCTGGCACATAACAACACTGAAACTAGGGCAATGAATAATCCCAAGATAGTCTCCCAGAATTAATGAAGAATCTTGTCTCTCATGATTCTGTAATCAGAATCTAGAAATGACTAAGCTCAGTGAGGAAGGCACGTTGAAAGCTGAGATAGGCTGACAGGCAAGAAGCCGGTCACTTGCACCAGTCAGCCCAGTTGTGAAGGCAAAGAAAAGCTCCTAAAGGAAATGAAAAGTGCTGTTCCAGTGAGCACACGCATGGTTAAGAAGGCGAATCAGGCTTACTGCTGATGTGGAGAAAGTGTGAGTGGTCTGGGTAGAAGATCAAACCAGCCACAACATCCCCTCAAGCCAAAGGCTGATCTGGAGCAAGGCCCCAACTCTTCAATCCTATGAAGGCTGAGAGAGCTGAGGAAACTGCAGAAGAAAAGCTGGAATTGGCAGATGTTGGTCCTGAGGTTTAAGGAAATAAAAAGGGCAAAGTGAGGCAGCAGGTGTTGATGGAGAAGCAGCAGCAAGTTAGGTAGAAGGCCCAGCTGTTGTCATTGAGGAAGGTGGCTAGACCAAGGGACAGATTTTCAGTGTAGATGAAACAGCCTTATACACAACGGGCCACCTTGGACTTTCATAGATAGAGAGAAGTCAACATCTGCCTTCACAGGGTCAGACACAGGCTGACTCGTTAGGTGACTATATGTCACTGAGGAAGGTGGCTAGACCAAGGGACAGATTTTCAGTGTACATGAAACAGCCTTATACACAAGGGAATGATGGATGCTGTTTTCATGCCTCTAACACATCTACTCTGCAGCCCATGGATTGGGGAGTAATTCTGACTTTCAATTTTTATTATTTATGAAACATATTTTGTAAGGCTATAGCTGCCACAGATAGTGATTCCTCTGATGAATCTGGGCAAAGACAACTGAAAACCTTCTGGGAATCGCCACCATTCCAGATGCCACTACGAACACTCAAGATTCATAGGAGGAGTTCAAAGTGCCAACACTGACAGGAAATTAGAACAAGTAGATTCCAACTCTCATGAATGACTTGGAGGAGTTCAAAACTTCAGAGGAGGAAGTAACTGCAGATGTGGTGGAAATAGCAATTCTAGAATTAGAAGCAGACCCTAGGCCAGGCGCACTGGCTCTCACACCTGTGATCCCAGCACTAAGGCAGATGGACTGCTTGAGCTCAGGAGTTCAAGACCAGCCTGAGCAAGAGTGAGTCCCTCCCTCTCTACTAAAAATAGAAAAACTAGCTGGGTCTTGTGGTGGGCACTGTGGTCCCAGCTACTCAAGAGGCTAAGGCAGGAGGGATCACTTGAGCATAGGAGAGTGAGGTTGCTATGAGCTATGATACCATGGCACTCTACCCAAAATGACAAAGTAAGACTCTGTCTTGGTGGGGAAAAAAAGTAGACCCTGAAGAGATAATACAGTGGCAAGGTTTCACATTAACTCTTTCAAAGAAGTTCTGCTGTGAATAAAATGATATCAAACAGTACTGAATGCAACAGAGAAATCGCTCAGGGAAGGAAAAGTCAATTCACATGGCAGACCTCACTGCTGTCCTATTTTAAAGAAATCACCACAGCCACCCTGACCTTCAGCATGCATCACTCTGACCAGTCAGCACCATCTATAACAAGGTGGGACCCTCCACCTGCAAAAGGGTTATAGCTCCCAGAAGGCTCAAACGATGGTATTTTTAGCAATGAAGTATTTTAACTGAGGTATACACACTGCTCTTGCAGGTGTGATGCTACTACACAATGACCAGACCACAGAACACACGCACAAAACTCTTGTGTGTACTAGGAAACTGCATCAGTGTGAGTCGCTGTGTTAAAACAGCCCATCTCTGTGGGCTCTGCTGCACACGGATCACACTGTGAGAGCAATTAGTGCTACAAGAATTGTCCTAGTGGGGCAAATCATGGGTGCATGAAAAGAACCAACTGTCACAGGCATAAACTGCTCCATACAACCCACACTCAGCAGGGCCCCGTGATAATGGCTATGGCCCTGACCCTCAGTGTAGGGGATTCCATTCTGTCACAGACTGCCTCAGAGGGAGACCGGGCACAGCGCACAGAAAGGCCACAGTGCCCCGTGGATCAAAGAACCAGGCGACAAGCAAGGGGTTAAACCACACCACAGAAAATGTACACAGAGTGGCAGAGGACCCTACAGGAGATGGGGCGTGCTGTCCCCCACATCTCCATGCACTGCTAAGAATGAGTGGAGACAGGCTGCAGAAGTGGAGCAGGCCCAGCCCTCTGTTTGTGGGCAGAGGGACCTGTACGTTATGTTCTATGTAAAATGGGAGAAGGTGCCAAGGCCACAGCAGGTGTGGTCCAAGGTCGTACCTTCAGTGGCTGGTGTAGGGGCTGGCCCGGGCACAGTGGCTTCAGCCCAGGTGCCCCACCCTCCCAGTAGGTCCGGCTGGCTGGACGAGGCTGTCATCTTAACAGGCTCCACTGGCAGATCCCCTGGAAAAAGAGAGCACTGTCCAGAGTACCTGCCAGCCCTTCTGGGGTGGCCCCTCTTCCTTCCCGTGTGAGCAGGTGGCTAACCCCACTGTGCTCTGGGCCTGGGGTCAATAACTTGAGCTCTTGGGCAATGCCAGTGCCACAGAACTGGGGCTGTGCTCAGGGACCATTGACTGGCTTCGTCCTCTTGACGGGCATTGAGACAGCACCACGTGGTCTGACCAGCTGGGTGTGAGGGTGTCAGTGGTCACGGAACCTCACAGCACAGGGAGGAACATGGGTGGGACACTGTCTGCAAGGGTCCACCCCCTTTGGTGTTCCCAGAGCCCGCTCCCTTGCCTCTCTTGAAAGTGTCACTCTCTGGGAGCTTGCGGTGCCCCCAGCTGGGTAGGCTTGCTGGGATAGGATATTGTGTTTGGTATCACCCCACAGGCCCAGTGAGCCCTGTCGGCCCTGGCACTGGCCACACTGCCCACCTTACAAGGGGGCCACCTGAGCACTGCCCACAGCAATCATCACCCGAGACTGCTAGGAGTGACGCTGCTGGCGGAATGGAGGCTGGCAGAGTAGAGGGAAGAGATGGAGCTCCCTCTGGAGGACCCTGCAATGGGATGGTCCGGCCTCCCCTCTTCTTGGGCCTGGCCTTGTCTTAGGGACACAGGGCCATCCACTGCCTTCCTGCGGTGCTCTCACCAGCACCAGTTCCCTGGACCACTCTGTCTAGACCTTGGAGCCCTCAGCCTCATGCAGGTTCTGGGCACAGGTAGCCATCCTATGGGTGGCCATTGTCCTGAGGCCCAGAGGAGGCATCACTGTGGAGGGAGTGCCTTGGGGATCCAGAACATACTCCAGGTTTGGGGATGGTCTGGGGAGGCCCAAGAGCAGATAGTGGTGTCTGTCCTCACCTCGCAATGGCCCTGCAGGTCCCTCAAGGAGCTCTGGGCATCCCTAGAACTCCAGAGGCCACACGGTCCAGTCACACCCACAGCCCAGGATGCAGGGCTCCATGTCTGACCCTGAGCTGCATCTTGAGGGGGCTGCATGAAGCACAAACCCCCTTGTCCCGCCAAGCTGAGTGAGTTGCATACCCAGGTGCAGGAAGTCAGTGCTGCAGGACGGGGGCGGGGCGCTGTGGGTGGCAGGGAAGGCAGGCGGGGCGACCACGGAGTCAGAATTGAGAAACTCGCCGAAGAGGTCAGGCTTAGAGCAGGGCTGAGTGTCGGAGTCCGACGGCAGCAGCAAGGGGTCAAATGGGTCAGCTGCAGGGTCAGGCAGGGACAGTGACACTGTGACCAAAGCATTAGCCTGTCCTCCTGGGGACAGAGCAGCCTGAGGAGGATGTAGCGCCACATGGCATGGTGGTGGTCAGCCTGGGGCCTCCTCTGCTCCACTGCCCAGTGCCCCAGGGACCTGCATGAAGTTCCCAGGACACAGCCCTGACCACAAGGCTCCCACCCATGAGCTTAGGCAGGGGAGGCCCTTCCCACCTCTGGGCACCACTCCCAGTAGGAAGACCTAAGCTCTACCTCGCTTTTACTGCACAACCCATCAATTGGCATCAGAACAGAAAAGCCTACCAGGGGCAGGGGGTTCTCCTCGGGGGGTGCTGGAAACACTCAGGGGAGGAGCCGGGCTGGCCAAGAGCAGTGGGGCCTTGCTGCCAAGCAGGTCATCTGGCGGCCCTTCTGGAGCAGCCTCAGGGGGTCCAAGGAGGCAGCTGAGGAGGTCGGTGTTGCTGGAGGAGACCCCGCAGGTCTGTGTGGGAGAAGCTGGCCTGGGGTCCGCCTCAGAGTGCAGCCCCAGGAGGTCCACGCTGTCCTCCTGTGGCATGGGCTCCGGGGACAGGGCTGTGGCTCCCGCATCAAAGATCAGGTCCTGTGAGCCTGGTCCATCGCCCTCAGCCCTGGACATCCTGCTCTCGCCAGTGCTCGGCACATCCTCCTCCTCTGACACCCCACTCCCGCTTCTGTCCTCCACCAGGGCAGACTGGTTCTCTTTGGGAGAGGTGTTTCCTGCACCCATCTCGGATTCTTTTTCCTCTGTGTGAAGAAAACAAAAGTGCAGGCTGGTAGACCTGCCCGCGGACGGGGCTGATGTGACAGGTGCATGGCCAGCACACATGCCCAGTCAGGCCCATATCTGCAGGCTGCCCAGTGCCTCCGCCCCCCGCCCCCCAGGCGCTAGCAAAGCTGGTTGATTCTCCTTAGGATTCCTTTGGCCCCTTCAGGGCTTCCCTTTCTGCAGGGCCACCCACTGCTCTCCTAACACAGAGCTCAACCCCCACAGGGAAGGAGCACCCAGAAGGTGGCAGGGCACGCCCTGGGGGGTGAGAGGTCAGTGTGACACTGCTAGGTGTTTGATCTGAGCAGCTGGGCTGGGGACTAGATCAGGGACCTGGGCTGTGAGCTCCCTGAGAGGACTAGGGCCTGTATGACCGCAGGGGAGGCCCTGGCCAGCATCCCACCCACCCTGCACGCCCACCCTGCCAGTCCAGCGTGTGCAGGAAGTGGCTGGTGTCTGTGCTGCTGCTTGGCGGTGAGTCCAACTCAGGGGGCTCAGCTTCCGGGGACCCCTCCTCAGCATCATACTGCGCTGTGGAGCCAGGCTGCCGGGGGAGCTCTGGCTTCCCTGTGGGGAGAGGGTGGCATCAGCCACAGCTTGGGGACATGGGGATGGCCAGGCACTCCGGCAGAATCCTGCCGTCCACTCCAATGCTGCTCTGGGCCACACAGATGCATGTGCACATACATGTACAACCATGTATGTGACACACACACCAACATGCACACATACACATCACACGCACACATGCACACACATGCTCCTTTCAAGGATAATTAACTGTCCTCAGATAAGAAAACATAACAAATGCAAACCAAGAACAGGAAGAAACATGTGACATGTCCAACAAATGATGTCACACGTCCTACCTGCCCAGGCCTGCCTGTGCTTGTGCTCTGGTGACCACCCTGGAGTAAGGAGAAGACCTCAAAGTGTCGTGGCTGTGAGCACAACTCTGCAGGCCCTGGCACGGATCTTGCTGACAGCAACCTATGTCCAGAGCATGAGACCCAGGGGCCAGCATGGGACAGACCCTCTCCATGAAGCAGCTCTGGCTGGAGGGTGCAGACGTGCCCCATGTGACCCACAGAGTAGCCAAGTTTCCGTGTCTGCCCCCAGCTGAGTTGAGAGACCCTGTGCAAAAGCTGGTGGCTTCAGGCAATGTCCAGACAGGAGAAGTTGCCCTGTGGACCCCATCTGCCCCCACAGCGCTGGCCACATATGCAGAGCAGAATCTAGTCCTGCTACAGGGTCTCACCAAACTTAGACAGAATGTCTTGCTGCTCCTCTCGGCTGGAAAACAGGATTTTGGGGTTCAGCCCCTTCATGCTTGCGTTCTCCCATGGCAGGGCCTCGCAGCTTGGCCTGTCCCTGGGCTCCACCTCCACCTCCAGGTTCACTTGGAACAGATCTGGGTACTTCTCTTGGATGTCACACGCATCTAGGTCATACCTGTGTTGTTGCCAGCAGACAGCTGTTAGGGAGACCACACACAGCCTGCAGGCCACTTGGCCCTTTCATAGTGAGATGTGTATAGGAACTAGGCTCCAGACAGAACTGCAGGAAGGGTTCTGGGGCAGGTCAGGGGAAGGCTGGGATAGCCCTGATGCTGGCCCCGGATGGGCAAGTTCTACCCTGCAGGCCTCAGCCCAGCTACATGCCTACTGTTGCCACTCAACAGGTCAGTATCAGCTTTTCTGGGACCCTAAATGCATTTTCACCAACATGGTCACATTCACCCTGGTAAAAACCCTCAACTGTTAACAGCTGCCCATAAAACTGAGCACTCTGGGGTGTAGCCGACATGGCATGGAGATGTAGCCATGGCTCGCTGCAGGGCCAAGGAGAATGGAAGGTGGGGGAGCGAGCAGGAGAATATTCCACTGGTGGCAGCGGTGGGAAACGGACAATGAGAGCAGCCTGAAGCCAACACTCAGCTGCTCTGTTTCTCAGAGCTGCTGTGGGGAATAAAGGGACCTTGACAGCACCTGCAGGCTACACAACAGCCCTGGGTCTCCAGCCAGCAAGTTCCCCAATGTCTACCTTGATGCCACCTAAAACTATGTGTCACACTTAAGCCTTATGTGAATAAAGAATAAAAAGGAAACAGAGAGGTGGCTACTGAGAGATCCCAGGTGGGTGGGGAGACAACAGCACCCAAAAGTAGAAGGCCAGCTCCGAGCCAGAACAGAGCAGCCAACCCGACCACCACAGCTCTGGGCTTCACAAAACAAAACCCAGGAGCACACAGGACTCTGACACGAAGATCCCCAAGGCACCTCTCTGCCCCCAGAGGACAGGAGAAGCAATCAGTGTCTGTCCCGAGGACTGGGCATACCACTGCCCACAACTACCACCTGAAGCAGAGCAGCCGCCTCCACGCTCTTCCCAGGCACTCTGGGCAGAGGTGGGTGTGGCAGCAGCTGGAAAGCCACATGAACACCCTCCACACCCGTGTCTCTCTGCATCAGTCACCTAGTCTGGATATTTCAGGTGACTGCACGGCCAAGTGGGGCTGCTACCTGGAGCCTTGGAGACAGTGATGTCCGTAAAGGGGTCAGCAGGCACGGGGGAGATTCCAACAGCTGGGAGATGGTGCCTATAGCAAGGAATGGCCTGGACCCCGCCATCAATGAGGTGGGGGGGGGAGTGAGGCAGCCTCAGCTCCGGGGCCCTGGCCCGGCCTCCCCACCCCAGCTGGCTTGGAGATGCCCTGTGCCCTAGGCCCGCAGCCCACCCATAGGGTGGTGAGGGAACAATGGTGCCTATGAGCAGCCCCAGGTTGGGCTGCAGGACACAGCTGCAGGCCCCAAGGATGGGCACCTGTGCAGTCAAGCTCTGACTGGTGGCTTCCGACACATGTGGGACAAATGAAAAGGGCTGACATGCATCATGGCTGCCCTTGGGGCACTGGGACCCACCTGGGTGCCTTGGGACTGCAGTGCACCCTTCCTGGACTCTAGACAGTGTGAGGTCCTTATGCCGCCACATCAGCCATACCTCTGCAAACCTGCCCTGCCCAAGGCGTGGACACTCGTCAGCCGACTGTGAGGCCTTTTCCTCCTCAGACTTGGCAGCTCATTTGTAGAGGTGTGACATGAACACAACTCTAAGAGCCTCTGTGAAGGTGTAGGCATCTGCAGCCAGTTCATTAGAACCCCTGAACATGTCCCTCAAACTGCACATGCTGAGAATGTAACCTCTACTGTGACTGCTGGGAGGTGACCAGCCAACAGTGGACTAACACCGTGAGGAAGAGGGTCTCCGAGAGTGGCTGGCCACCATATTGCAAGAGGACACAGCAGTAGGCCCTCACCAGACCAGTGCTGCTGGCCCCCAGCCTCCAGAACGCCTGTCACAACCCCCATCTCAGGTGCCCATGGCCTAACCCAGGGGAGCCCAGCCTTGGAGAACATTCTTAGAGGGTTCTGGGATGAGGTGTGGTTTGGGTTCCAAGCCCTCATTTCTCTTGGGACAGAGTCAGGAGCACATAGTTTGAGCAGATCTCCCCAGGGAGGCTGTGCTGTGTCACAGTGCCACAACCTGCCATCACCAGCTGTCCCGTCAGGGCACAAAGCGGCTGTGACCTGCTTTCCCTGATGACCAATGATGGTGAGAGGCTCTCCATATAGTCACGGTAGCACAGGGATGGGGCATGGTCTGGGACATGTACCATCAGGCAAAGCTGTCATTGCAAACGCCACAGGGCACTTGTATGCAAGCCAGGTGGCAGCCTGCATGCCAGCTGTGGGTGCCAACAGCAGAGCCCTATACCGAATCCTATAGGCCAGTGCTCATACGTCCAGCATTCTCAGCCAGGTACAGGAAAAGCACAGTACAGATGGCCATGTCATAGGTGCTGACCATAGGGCACTTGGCAAGACAGACTCAGGCCCAGAAGTGGCTAGGAGAGCCAGGGGATGACGGGCCTGACACCAGTTATGTGGGCTACACTAAATTTATAAAAA